TCTTCTTCCTCAACCTCATTGCTCTTTGCTGCACCGGTTTTCTGGCAGCCTTGTCCATTGATCTTTTCATCATCATCCTCATCTTCTTCATCTTCCTCGTCACTCTCCGTTGTTTGGCAGATCTCCTCAGCACTGCGTCCATTCTTTGCTACATCCTCTTCCTCACAGTGCTCTTCCTCATCATCATCATCATCTTCCTCTGCCTCATCCTCCTTCTTGTTCCTTTTTGATGTTTCTTCCTCATCTTCGTCACTTTGTTCATCGTCATCATCTTCCTTTCCTTTATCGTTCTTCTTCTCTGCAGCCTTCACAGAAACCTTCTTTGCCGCCTTCCCTTTTGTTTCCTGCAGTGAAGGCAGTGACAGCAACCCTAGTCCTCAAAACCTCTAGAAGTTGGGTATTGGGCCAATTGGGAGGGTCCTGGCCAGCATCAGGTGTTTCTTCATCCACTTCATCCACATCACTAACCTTAACAGTCACAACAATTGTTTCAAGAAACGGTCAATCGCGATTGATGTACTGCAGAAATTAACAGAGTTTAGTGACCTCCTCATCTTGAGTTTGGTCCTCCTCCTCACTAGCCTCACCGTCACTCATCTCCATATCCCCATCAGCAGCATTGGGAATCTCACCATAAGCTTTCCTTGGAAAACCACGAAGTCTGCGCATGTGTATAATGCATCCTTTGTGAACTGAACACATGATCCTAGTTGCATATCCTCGTCAGTGAGGCCTGAACTGAACACATGATCCTAGTTGCATATCCTCGTCAGTGAGGCCTGATGCAAACATAGGTTGCGTATCAGCTTGATCATCCATGGACCTTGGGTTTTTCACGCAATGCCACCGCATACAGTAGACTTTAGCATACTGACACAAACAGCTCAAAATACTTGCCAGTATACCCAGTGCTGGCAGATTTTAGGCTTCCCGATGATACACGTCCACCAACCTTCTTATGTCTGATCACCACACGATGGCATTTCCCAGCCTGAGGAAGGGTAAAAATGGTAAAGAAGCACGGTTTGCATGTATAAATGTGGGCTAAACTTTTCTGAAAAAAAGTCGGCCTCAGTGCGAATCCATTCATCCTTCTCGTTTTTTTTCCATTCCAGGGCCTTTGCTATTCATAGGTGTTCATCATACAAGAGGCTGAATCTAAATGAACAGCAGAGCTAAAAAAACAGAAGGAGCAAACTCTTGTTTCAAAATCGAGATGCAAAGTGAGTATTGGTGTACGAGGCATTTGATTATCTTTCTAAACTCAGCTTCTCGGGGCACGCGTGCTACCTCCGATGCTTGCCAAGCTTTCCGTAGCCACTGATTGCCCTTCTGGCGGATATCCCCACCAGGAAGCATAGATTGTTCCTCCTTGATCTCGTCCTTGTCCAATCGAGCCGCCATCTCTCTGCGAAGACGCCTGAGATTGGGTATATACACATAAATGTGTGCATGAACAACCCATGCAACCCATGCCATTGCAACAGCAAATAAACATTTCAAAAGAATAATGTCGAGTATCCTTCCATCCTTTGAGAGGTTCTTCAATAGCATGCGGTCAGGTTGAGCCATAGCGAAAAGGCAAAGGGAAAAGAGATAAGCAAAAGAGAGTTGTCCCATGTCCATATTTTGCAGCACATGGTATAGGTTGATTTATGCGCACTTGTGTTTGTCACATACCTTTGAATCCAGAGCACCTGCTTTGATCCCAAGGTGCTACAGCACAGGAAGCAGGTCAGAGCGCCTTGGAGCCCCTCGCAACCCTCGCAGCACCACATCCCCTCGCATCCGGCTGTTAACATATCAAGTCCTATGATAAAAAGGTCACTTAAGAACCATGACAAAGGGTCACTTAAGGGGAAGACACAACACGAAGTGACCTTTAGATTTTTTCATGCTAAGTGGCTGCAAAACAAGGCCACTAAGAACTAGCTGGTATGTATTATACATTGGGGTGGCTGAAGCAAAGTCCGTGTATTTACGTATATAAACATACACCATAACATGGAATGTATGTGTGTGGAATATTTGTTTAGACTGGTCCTTAACACATCTAAAGCCACCCAATGTAGGCAGAATCCAAGTCCCATGGCCCATGGATTGCTTATGTATTGTTTGGGGTTGTATTCTTGTGGTGCAGAAACTGCTGCCCCGGATTGTGGGTTTGTGTTGGAGGGCTTGGGAGACTTCGGATGTGCCACAAAGGACCGCTTCCGCCGATGGTGTGGCCTGCCTTTGGCGATGGCAGACGCAAGAGGCGGCGAGGGTGAGGTTTGGAGCAGTTGGGTGGGTAGAACCGCCCGGACACGACCCTGGAACCCAACCTATGGACCCGAATCCTCGAGTCAAGGGGCTGGTGTCTGAAATCCCAACTGACGGACCAGGGATTGTTTGGAGCATCTGGCTGGGATAAAGCAGCTTTTGCGGGACACCCTTGCCTATAAAAAGTTGCTTCCTGATGGTGGTGCTCATGCAAGTCCCATGATCCAAGCATATGACTTCGTAGGACAATGGCATTGCTTTGCGGATCGGGTTTATGTTTGTGTATGTTCCCCATGCGTTTTTCTCCCCTCCTGGAGAGTATGTTCGATCTTTTCCCGGTTCCTGGACAGCACATCCTGGACGTCACAGGGGAGCAGGTCGATTTCGGCTGACGAATCGAAGCTCGCGACGAATGTCATCCGAAAGATCCCAGGCACTTCATGATACTTCATGTATGCCCAGACGCCCCGTTCACAACCCGACCGGTTCGTTAAAACCGGATTTGAGACCCCAGACCCCTCCAAGGATTCGGGTCCGAACCATCCATCGGTATACAACCAGACCCCGGGTTCCTCCACCACCCCTGGCCTGATCGGGTTGACCCGGACTGCCCAACAGGTCGTGGTTGGGGAGGTGTTCACCACATCACCAGAAACAGGTCGCAAGACTAGCTGGACCAGCTGGGCCTGTCTAAGACACCTCTGGAGCCCGACTGGTCATCCACCATGTAAGCCCGCGAACGACCTGGAAGCAGGTCAGCCGAGGGATGGACCTGGGGTCAGATGATCCACAGCAGAAGATGCCCCTGTATTCTCGACATACACGGCCAAACTTCCTGAGATTCGAGGTACCTAGATCCGAGATGATCCGAAGACGGCCTAGTTATTTTACATTGGCATACTTTTGGATGGTTTGATGTCAACGTTGTAGATATACCGTATACGGATGTATATGGTATGCCCTAGGATTTCAACCACCATCAATTCAAAGACATGAATCCCGAACAACCATTGAACATCATTGAACCATTGTTTTAGGAGACATTTTACGCGAGACCGGGTCAACTGAACGCGTTATATTAGAATGTCTTTTCGACATGTCTTTTGACCGAACAATATGTATGCCAATCCCATGGAGTGGAACTTGAGATGTGGCGTAGCTGCGCTCTTCCATCCCCCCGTCACAGGTGATATGGATCTTGGATGGACACCAGGAGACTCGGAAACGGCGACCGTGGAACGACGTGGAACGAGGATGGAGGAGAAATCCTTTGGTTTTGGGAAGCGACCTGGGAGTCTTGGGCAGGTGTGTGTGGGTGGTGGAGTTCTTCTTTTTTGCGAGCCTGGGTGAATCTCCAAATTGGGGGGATATGTTTTGACATCCTTTCCTGGTTCCTGGACAGCAAATGCAAGTTTTTGAGCTGGTCTTTGAACGTCAGGTCGTCGCAGTACAATGCCAAGAGGTTGGTCATTGTAAAGTGTTCCCAGTGGATCGAGTTACCACTAGATAGTAGAGTTCCAATTCCAAAGACCAAAATCGTGGACCTAGAGACCTAGAAACCCTGGTTCCTACTAGTTCCTACAACAGTGACTGGGATCCACTAGGGTTGTTAAATTTCAAAAACAAGTGACTCAATGGTGAACTCACCTGACATTTCGATTCTGATGAAATACATCCTGCTGCCCCACAAATGTGCGATTGGTGCGTTTGTGCTTTCAAAAGCCATCAGCCGGGTCCACACCACGACTTCTCGTTCAGGAGAGCTACATGCGTTGCGCCAGCTTCTCCCCAGATAGCCAGCGCCTGGTCACGTGTTCCGCCGACTGCACAGTGTGCATTTGGCGACTGCAGCCTGGCGAACCAGGCTCAAGCCACGGCGGAATGCGCCAAAACTTCATGATCTTAATGGGTTGAGGAGGTTTTTTTTTTAAATCTCTCACAAATAATTCGCTAGCTCGCAGATGTACTTACCATGATGGAAAGACTGGTGCTTGCACAAGAATCGAAGCACCTGACAGAAGAAAGGACAAAATATCAACACCGTACAGTTCAGTTTAGCTGGAATTGTTGTTTACGGGTAATCATTTATGTTCAATTGTTTGAAGGTGATTTGCCTAAGCTGTGGTCTTGGTTGCGTACTAGTACCTTTTTTTTTCCTGTGCTTCCAGGAGTCTTTGTTCACTCTGGCTTACTGTAGCATATGTTGGTTTGTTCCTGCTTGTTCTGTTTTTAGTGGCTTGCATCTTCTTTTACGTTGCTTTGGCTTTATGTGTTGCTTCTGGCAAAACCAGTACGTCTCACATCGCAAAGTGTTGCCGTCGATTTGAGCAACATGTGAGTTTTACAAAGTTAGGTAGAGTAGGAAAAACACATATATATAATATATGGTTGAATGTCCCCATAACTAAACACGAATCAGTTGTCTATCCCACGTAGCTTTGGGCTCGACAGGGTCCATGCGAGTGTGCACCCGCTGCCAGAAGTGGCGTCTTCTGGAGGGGCAGTGCACCGTTTGTGCCTCGGTTGAGAGGCTCAGAGCTGCGGCTTCGAGCTCGAGGCTGCCGACGACCTTGGAGGCCGAGGCCAAGGTGACAAAGATCCTCGATAGCTGCTACTACTCGATCGCTCGTCTCTTCCCGGAATCGGACGAGGACTCAGACAAGGGAGGGGTTCCTCCTAGGCGAAAGGCAGCAGGGGACTCTTCGAAGGGAGAGAAGTCTCCCAAAGCAAAGTCAGGCAACAAAGAAGCAGGCGAGGAGACGCCGGAAGGTAGCAAGAAGCTCGAAAGCCCGAAGGAGGAGAAAGAGGAGAGGAAAGTCAACATCAAAGAGGAGAAACAGAAGGCCGTTGAGACTGGAAAGAGCGAAGGAAGCAAAGTACTACCCAAAAGGAAAGAGGAAGAAGAGAAAAAGAGGGCTCGAAGCCGAACACCAGTGAGACAGAGAGAAAAGGACAAGAGGAAGAAGGATAAGAAAGACAGTAGATCAGGATCGGTAAGTGGGTCAAGGACAAGAAAGAAGAAAAGGGAGGACCATTCCCCCCAGAAGGCTGAGGTGAAAGAGGCAAGGTCAGAGGCAAGGCCCAGTTCTGGAATTCAGAGAGAGGCATATCTCCGACCCCGGCCCAGTCAGAGAGAAACAAGAGCCCCGAGGACTCCTGACCATCCACCGCCTAGGACTTCGTTGATTCCACCTGCTACAGGCCGAGGAATAGATCGAGGTCAAGGTTGGCGAGGCCCGGTTCCCTATTCCAGCCATCCACGCTGGAGTGAAGGGACAAACAAAGGAGTGACGAAGCGAGCAAAGCAGGAACTCTACGACCGAAGGCAGTCGAGGAGTTGCTGGTGAGGGGAGCAATGGCTCCCAAACTACGGAGGCCAGCAGCCATGCCAGCCCGTGTGAGGCCACTGAGGAGGCCGGCAAGGGCATCAGGTGAGGCAGAGGAGGAAGAAGAGAAACCCACTACAGAAGAGTACAATACCCTGACATCGTTGACCCTTGAAAAGTTGAGGTCGTTGGACATCGTTGAGCTGGGTGAGACATCATATTATGGGGGGCATGCCAAGATAGCCGGCAGGATTCGAAGCCTGAAGCCTGCGGAGGAAGAGGCTGAGTTCGAGCTGTGCGGCACTTTGACAGATCGTGTTCTTGAGCGGTTTGGAGGAGGAAGCACGAGGCTTGTGAAGGTGCACGTATGCCCTGACGGGTGTCCACAGTTGATGACAGGTGACACCTACTTCCATGCAAGGGGCTATTGGGACACTAAGATGGCCCCCAAGCCCTGGCATACGAATCTCTTGCCAGCCAAAGGTGCAGTTGAGGAGGAGGTGGATGAGCTGGCCGGGCTTCGAGAGCTCGCCGTGGAAAGAGGGAAAGGAAGGGGAGGCAGCAAACCTCCCAAGGAGGATGAGGACAAAGAGAAGAGCAAGTTGCCGGCCGGTGAAGACGAGAAGAGAGGTAAGAAGAGGAAGCGAAAGGAGAGGACGGCAGAGAAGGAGTATGACGACCTGCTGGCTAAGAAGGAAGAAGTAGAGGAGCTTGATCGGGGGCAAAAGACCGCGAGGGCCCTGTTCAGCAATACCTGCTTGGACCCGAATGTACCGCGGCGGAAGCGCCTCATGAGGAGAGCGAGGAAAGTGAGTAAGAAGAAGGACAAGAGAAAGAAGAAGTCCGACTCTGGTGACTCAGGGTCGTCAAGTTCCTCATCCAGTGGCAGTGAAAGGGGGTCGGAGGAGGAAGGACCACTTTTCGACGAAACCCGGAGGATCAGGCGGCTCAGTGAGAAATGTCCAGGTGCGTTGGCGGCTCAGGCCATCGAGAACGTTCGTGAGCATCTTCTGTCGTCGCGGGGTGAGTTGCATAGTATATCACGTGAACAACTCAATCCGCTGTTCTCGATGTACGCGCACCAACACTTACAACCTCTTGCATCGCCGGTGCTATGGCAGGAGTTGGCCACTGTCGCGCAGGTTTCGGACCTGCTCCTTCGCCGGAAAGTGGCGACTGCGCTGGACGTGCTCGTTCAACGAGCGAAGTCGCTTGAGGCGACCCTGCGTGGCGGCCATTTTTCAGTGTCCCGCCAGCTGGAGCTTGTCAACTCGGAGCAGGTGCGCATCGCAGAGCCGGCAGAACAGATGGAAGCCGCGAAGAGTGCTCGTGAAGAGTTTCGCAACCGATCCATCGGCAATCGACCTCATGGGATGACCCAACGAGGGGAGGGTGAACATCCTCCCAAAGGACGTGGCAAGCCTGTGCCGACCTCAGAGCCCTCGTACAAACAGAAGGGAGGAGAAAAAGGAAAAGGAAGAGAAAAAGGCAAATGGGGAAAGAAAACGAAAGAAGACAATTGAAAAGGGGGGCAGAAGAGGAGAGCACAGGCATTGAGATGAGAGAGAAGAAAAGTGAAGGGTCAGAGGCAGACATAGCAAGGGAGAGTCAGGGAAAAGAGAAAAGAAGAGGAGATGAAGGACAGAGGGTAGAAGAAGCTATTGAGGAAATGTTGACTGAGTGCTACCAAAAGGCTTTTGAGAGAAGAGAGGCGTATGAGGACTATGACCTTGGGGGGCGAGGTTGGCAGCCGCAAGAGGCAACTGGACGCGCCGGGCCAAGGATGGGAGACAGCAACAGCCTCCCAAGCTGATGCGAGGAGTAAGCAATTGGCAGGCTTGGGCCGCCGACAGCGCCGAGCTTTGGCTGAGGAGAAGCTGGAAAGAGGCACAGGGGAGGTTTCGAGATCCTCCCAAAATGCATGTGGACCTTCACCGCGACCGGATTTGAAGCCAGGCCGTGGAGAGGACCTTTTTTCCGGACAGCCTTTGTCACGACTGGCTTTGAGGCCGTGCCGTAACGAGGATGCATTGACAGAGCTTGATGGCCACAAGTCGTGGCAGATGGCATTGAAGAGCGCTTGCGCCAGAAAAGAAAGCTTGTGGAGTGATCTGAGCCCCGCACTGTCACTGTCCCTGGAGGTGTTATCCAAGACCACGCGTTGCGGGCAGTCCACGGAGGGCCTCTTTCCCCTCCCACTTCCAGGGAGTTTAGGATGGTGCGAGAAGGAAGATCCATTGTTAGAAGGGCTTGTCAGAGGGTTGAACAGTCTTTATGGGGTTGCATCATCTGAAGGAAAGAAGGTTTCAAAGGTGCAGAAAAGGGTCATGGGAAGATTGAAGGAGGTTCTTAGGTCCAGTGGCTTGCCCCATGCAGTTCTTCCAGCAGTTTCGTTCGGAGAGTTTTTCACCACCAAAGGCATTGACTACTCAGGTGAAGAGGTCAGAGTTGCGCGGTCTTTCCAATGGAAGATGGTTGCTGCAGCTTTCCCAGAGGGAGTGGGTTCTTTGGACTTGTTGAGCTTTTGCGAAGGGGGCACCTTTTCTTATGTTGCAGAGTTTGAGAGCTTCCTTTTGCCGCCCCAGGATCAAAGCCTTGGGAAGACACCTGCCACTATGGTCAGCCAAGAGCACTGGGCGGAGGTGTGCCTGGGACTGGTTGATCGGGGGGTGTGTGGCCTCATGAAAAGGGAAGAACTTTACCATGTTGGTGGGCGACCAGTTCTCAACGGACTTTTTGCTGTAGAGAAGGGGGGAGAGAGCTGTGGATGAAGGTGGAGAAGAATTTGAGGTCTGTAGGCTCATTATGAATTTGGTGCCAACCAATGGGCTGTGCCGAAACTTGGTGGGGGACACCTCTACGCTGCCTACGGTGACAGGGATGTCAGGAACTGTCCTAGGAGATGGGGAGCTGCTATTGACATCCTCTGAAGATATAAGGTGTTTTTTCTATTTGTTTCGGACGCCACCAGAGTGGCACCGTTTCATGGGCTTTGGAAGGGAGGTCCCGCAAGAGGGTCTCCCAGCTGGCTACACCGGCAAAGGCTGGCATCTCGTGAGCAGAGTCCTGCCTATGGGGTTCATTAACTCCGTTGCAATCGCTCAGCATGTCCATCGCCGGGTAATTCAGCAAGCTCTTGGAGGTGAAAGAAAACTGGCAGGAAAGCACCAAGAGATTAGGCGAGATCGGCACCAAAGCTCGGCAGCCCACCAGTACAGGGTTTACCTCGACAACTACGATGAGTTGAACAAGGTTGACAAGCGCTTGGCCGAGACGTTGAAGGGAACTCCGTCGGCCTGGTCACTAGCAGTGCGTGAGACATACCAGCAGTTGGGCTTGCCTAGGCACCCGAAGAAGGCGGTCACCCAGGAGATTCGTGCTGAAGTGCAAGGTGCATGGGTAGACGGTGAATTGGGTCGCGCGGCTCCGAAGTTGGACAAGGTAGGTAGGTATGTTAGTCTGGCTCTGGAGATCTGTGCGGCTGGCAAGGCATCGCAGAGGGAGTTGCAGGTGGTTGGAGGAGGATTTGTTTACATTGCAATGTTCCGAAGGCCCCTGTTGTCTGGGTTGAATGCGGTGTGGAAACAGGTGACTGACTTGGGACAGTTTGGCCCTATGGTTAGGAAGGCTTTGCCGCAGGAGGTAGCGCTTGAGTTGCTGCGTTTCGTTGCGTTGACTCCGCTGGCCTACATGGACTTTCGTCTGGCTACATCAGAGCTAGTGACAGCCAGTGACGCCCAGCACAGGAGGGGGGCTGTGCGTGAGTAGGGAGCTCAGCCCATTCGGAGTCGCTGCGTGTCAAGCGGAATGTCGTGGTGACGTCGTTGAGCCTGAGGAGATGGACCAGGTCCTTGTCGTGTCACTCTTTGATGGCATCGGTGCCCTTAGGGTGGCGTTGGATGCGTTGCGTGTGCCGGTCGGAGGGTACGTGTCGGTGGAGATTTCTCCAGAGGCTAATCGCGTTGTGGAGTCCTTCTTCCCTGATGTGGTTTGCGTAGGAGACGTGGCCAGCATCACAAATGAGGATGTTCTGCAATGGAGGATGCGTTTTGCAAACGTTGGGCTTGTGCTGTTAGGTGCTGGACCGCCTTGGCGTGTCCGGGTTGAACTCAGATCGTAAGGGTGCGTTGCGAGATGAGCGGTCTTGCCTGTTCCAGCATATCCCCAGGGTAGAGGCCTTACTCCGGGCACACTTCAAATGGTGTCCAGTGCACAGGTTAGTTGAAAACGTGGCATCGATGGACGCGAGTGACTGTGCGGCTATGTCTTCAGCCTATGGTACTATGCCCTGGAACATTGACGCTGGTGGAATCAGTCTAGCACGTCGACCACGTCTCTACTGGTGTAGCTGGGAACCGTTGAGCCTTGAGGGTGCTAAGGTTGTTGAGGGGAGAGAAGGTTCCCTCCCAGTCAAAGGCAAGGTGGAGCTTGAAGCAGAGGTGGACGAACGCGACTTCCTGGAGCCGGGATGGCAGAGAACTCGACCAGGGACTCCCTTTCCTACATTCACCACGTCTCGGCCCTCCATGGTTCCAGGACGCCGGCCAGCCGGGTTGGCTCTCTGTCCTCCAGAGGCCGTGTCGAGATGGAAGGCTGACCTTCATCGCTTTCCACCATACCAATATCGTTCTGAAAACTGTGTCAGCAATCGCCGAGGTGAAGTGCGTGTTCCGTCAGTCAAAGAGAGGGAGGTGATCCTAGGGTTTCCTTTGGATTACACCCGGCGGTGCCTTGTCAAGAGCATGGAAGGCAGCGCCACTCACAACGACTGTCGCTTGACGCTCCTTGGAAATAGTTGGTCAATTCCCGTGGTTGCGTACTTGCTGTACTGCCTTTTCAGGACGCTAGGCCTGCTGCCACCCTTAGGCCTGGCCGTGTTGGTGGAGAGGTTGACGCCTGGTCGTGAACAACATTTGGCTAGTCTTCTCATGCGGCCCCCCATGCGTCAAACTACGAAGATGGGCAGTCCACAGTTGAGTCTGGTGACGCGGTTGCTGGGTCAAGTGTCGGTTAAGGGAGAGGACATCCTGCTTCAGCTAGGGTCAGATCTCCCAGCTCGCTATCATCGGTTGCGGGCGTCCATCCCCAGTAAGCTCTGGCGATGGAAAGATGTGGCTGGATGGCGTTGGACCGGAAACGTTGAACATATCAATGCACTGGAGTTGCGTGCCGTTAAGACAGCCATTGTGTGGAGACTGAAAGAGCTTGAGGAAAGCAATTGTCGTTTTCTGCACCTGGTGGATTCTCTAGTTGTGTTGCATGCCTTGTCCAGGGGGAGATCGTCAAGCCGAAGGTTGAGGAGAACATTGTGTCGAATCGGAGCGCTTCAGTTGGCAGGAGGACTTGTTGGGGTTTGGGGGTACGTGGATACCCACCAGAACCCTGCTGATCGGCCCTCGCGCCGACCTCTTCGTAAGAAATGGGTAAGAAAACCACGAAAGTGATGGAAGGTAAAAGCCAACAAGAGCGCAAGAAGGTTCGAAACAAGCTAGGTTCACTCAAAGGCCTTACCGTGCAACCCCGTACCCGGCAACGCTACACAGAATGTCTCAACCGTTTCTTTGACTGGATGGCAGGGGAGGGTTTGGCCCTCCCAAAGCAGCAAAACCGCCTGGATGCCTTGGTGAGTGACTATCTAGAGTATCTATGGGCCTCTGGAGAAGGCAGATCCGTGGCGAACAACACCCTTGCAGCTTTACAAGACCGCGACCCTTCCTTAAAGAAGAAGCTACCTGGCAGTTGGAGGTTGCTTAAAGCGTGGACCACCGTTGAGATCCCTAATCGGGCACCGCCCATGACCGTGCAGATCCTTGACGCATTATGCGGCTGGTCCCTTTTCAATGGCTGCCCTGAGTTTGGCTTGTCCTTACGGGTTGCCTTCTATGGCCTACTTCGTACCGGTGAACTACTGAGTTTGCGCGCCAAGGATGTTTTCATCCCTGGGCCCAAGGGGCCAGCGGTTCTCTCGTTGGGCCTGACAAAGGGAGGCGCTCGTCAAGGAGCGGCAGAAAGTGTGACACTGCATGAGCGTTCAATCCTCCCAGACCTTTGGACATGGAAACAGCGTTCCACCGCTTCCCAATTTTTAACCCTCAAGCCACATGCGTGGCGAGCGCTTTTTACCAAAGCCACTGAGGCACTCAAATTGAATGACCTGCATTTCCGACCTTACAGTCTGCGCAGAGGGGGCGCGACGTTCTGGTTTAACCAGCACGGTTCTTTCGATAAATTGCTCGTGCAAGGCCGGTGGGCCGCAGCACGTACGGCTCGAGTGTACCTCAACGACGGCCTCGCACAGTTGGCCGACATGTCTCTGTCTAATTCGGTTTTAATTCCTTACATGAATCTCTACCGCCGGAGCCCAAACCTTGCGCCTGGACCCCCTGAAGGGGGGTCCAGGTCAGGGGGACGTGGAGCCAAAGCCAGAAAGGGTCGAAAGGTTGAATTGTTTGCGCTTTTTCTGTCAT